AAGAAAAATGTGTTGTGCATTTATAGAAAAGATCTAAAAAAAATCTAAACTTGAATGTATCAACAAGACGACTATCAGAAAGCACAGGGGCATTCTTTTAGAGACTCAGAATCATTTCTAAAATGTCTCAAAATCCAGATGCCATGAAAGAAAAAGAATTGAAAACCTTTATTCCTTCAACACTGAAATTACCGTGTAGACCGCAACAGCCAGCTGAATGAAACCGATGACCAATAGGAAAGATGCTTGCTACTCATATTCCATATAAAAGCTGGTGATCAATCGATTGATGTACCCTGAAACGACACTCCACATCACTCACAATAAAACTTAAGAATTAACGCCACTTGGATGCCATTTTCCTACTTGACCAATCATCTAAGATTCAAAAGCTTCATGAGGCAGAAGCCTGCAGAGGAGACAAGTCTCAGTGGCTGGTGGAGTGCTGGTTGAGACTGTTCACATGTAAATTGGTAGTATCTCTTCAGTCACAAGGGCATGATCCCTTTAGACCAACAATCTCACTTCTAAAAATTTATTCTATAGTTACTTCTTCACATGTGCAAAATGACCTAGGTATAGAATACTTTACTACAATGTAATATGCATTAGAGAAGTGATGGAATAAGATCAGAAATACATGAATAAAGTACCAGTTATATAAATCATAACATAGCCACCTACTGGGATATTATGCAGCTCTAAAAAAGGAAAATGAAGTGAACAGGAAGACAACTATTCAAGCTCTCCAAGCTAAGATCCGACCTGAGAACCCCATCTAACAAATCGAGAGCAGTCTGGCTTGCTGCTTATCTGATTGTCATCACTATGGGATATATAATCACCACAGAAATGAACCACTGGGCATGTCTGTGAGGGAGTTTCTAGATTGGCTTAAATGAGATGGGAGGATTAACCCAACATGAAAATTCCTGAGGGCTGGAGTCCTGGACTGATCAAAGGGAAAATGGAGCCAAGCCCTGTGTCCTGACTGCAGGTGCCACGTGAGCAGCTGCCTCGAGCTCCTGCTGACCTGCCTTGCCCACCCTGTGGGACTGCACCCTCAGACTGGGAGCCAAGACAAACCCTTCCTCCAGGTGCGTTTATTGGTTATTTTGCCGCAGATAAGCAACACAACCCACACATCTGCTTTATTCTGTGACCAGATGTTATGTAAGAGTAGCTTCACAAACATGGGGGAGCGAGGGGGATGCTTGCTCGCCATATTGTTCTGACTGTTGTTTGATTCTAAATATAGAGTCTACATCTGCATAATTCAAAGGTAAAAAGTGAATGAATCCGGTAAGATGGTGACATCTCAAATCTGTCTCCATTCTCCCAGTTTGTATTCATCCAGGCACCCAAGGGGATTTAGTTTCTTGGAGAGGCTGTTAACTCTTTTTTAATTCTGAGATGGGGATGGCAAGATGGCTCAGTGGGTATGGATGCCTGCTGTCAAGGGTGAGGACCTGAGTTTGATCATTGGAACCCACATGGTGGGAGAGAATCAACTCCTGCAACTTGCCCCCGACTTCCGTATATGAGTGATGGCATGTGTGCACACACACACACACACACACACACACACACACACACACACACACACAATTATTTTTGTGTCAGTGTCTCACATTTGTAATGCTCCTGCCTCAGCTCCTGCCCCCAAACCCCCATGCTGGAATTACGAGTGCACTACCATGCTTCGGCTGTTTGAGACAAGCTTTAAGAAGCATTTTTAACATGGGTACAAAGAGAGATAACTACGTAGTCTTTCCTAAATTAAAAAGAAAGTGCTTATGATTTTTAATTTTATCCTGGACCAATTCTATCTCTTAAGATCATATCTTGAAGCTGAGTGTGGTAGCTCATGACTGTATTCAGTATTCAGAAGGCTGAAGAAGGAGGATTTCTGAGACTTCAGGTCAGCCTGGGTTTCATGGTGAGTTCCAGGCTAGTCTAGAGTACAAACCACCTCCTTCAAAGAACGAGGTTCCTCTCCCTTACCTGTCAGCCACAGCACTATGAGAACAGGGACAATGAACTGTCAGCTGGCATTCTCTGCTTTGAAGCCCCACTCCAGCTGTACCTGGATTAGTAAAAAAAAAAAAAAAAAAAAAAAAAAGGTGCAAAAACAAGCAGCCTGGCCCCAGAAATGTTTCTTTGGGAAACTGAGTTTCTAAAACCATATGATAGGTTGAGAACAGATTCATGTGAGTTCAGCGCTTAATAAAACCACATGACTGGCAGCTATGATGTCAGGTCCAAATTCCCTTTGACGTGAGTGCACATTTCCACACTCACTGGTTTCTCAGCTCTCTGCACTTTTTAGACCTGTTGCCGACGTTCTGGGACTCTCAGAAGTAACATCTTCCTGTTAGGGGTCATCTGCTACTCACTAAGTGTGGGTGTGGTACAGCTAAGGCCTTAGACACCATTCTGGACTATAAACTACAAAATAAACTCAGGGTTAAGTAGTAAAGCCCATTTATGATATGGTGGCCAGAATCCAGCAAGGAAAAGCAATCGAACACAGAATCAAAGGGAAGGAATAACGTTAGCAAAGAGGCAGAGGACAGAGCTCTGTCTGACCCGAACATGGGGCCACAACCACTGTAAAAACAGAAGCCTGTGAGAGCCATCCAAGCAAAATCCTGTGGAGAGAGGGTGGTAGGGAGCTATGGTGTGTTCTTAAGAAAGAGTATGGTCAAAGTAACGCTTTTTTTAAATAAAATCAACTGGACAAAAAGACATCCGGGGCGTAAGTTACTGATCTACTGGGAGGCAGCTCGGCTAATCAGGGAGTCTTCCCAAAGAGCTGGCAGAATGGTGGGAGTCAGTGAGAACTGAGGCTGTTTCATTTCCATCTTAAAAATAACAGTCACTGCTGCCTTGACGACAGACTGGCGGCAAGGTCTGAGTGTGCGAAGGATTGCTACAACGGTCCAACGTGTCTGTAGCCTTGCCTGAAGAACTGGAAGTTTCTCTAGTAAGAATGGGGTGACTGGGGAAGGAAGCCAGGAAGATGGCAAACTTATTTCTAAGATGGTGGGGAGCATGGAGGTGATGACAGACTCTTCTGTCCTAAGTCCCACAGGTGCTTCTGGACTTGGAGGGACCCTGAGGGACTTTCCTATTGGCCACCCCACTGTCTCCCATTCACTCAGAGTCAGCAGCATTATATGATTGCTAAGTTCATTTGCTCACAGGCTAACGAATGTGGAAGTTTCCTCTCATGTTGGTGCTCACTGTGTGAACTCTGTCTGGATCAGTTCCCTCGACAGCACTGGTGTGTCTGCTCTAGAAAGGCAGCTGTCAAGTGCAACTACTACGTATACCCCGCAACTCCAACACAATCGCATGTGCTTGCACACTAGGACCTGGCCTTTGGCTGAATTCGGTTTTGAATCAGGTGTTCAAACTGTGTAGCCATCTCAGCTTTTTATGGAGACCAGTATTTTCAGGTTGTCTGACTCAGAAGAAAAAGGCAATTCAGGCTAGGAATATTTTTCCAGAAATACACTCCCTGCCCCAAACTGAGTCAACCTGGGAGAGGGAGTCCCTGGAAAGCTCTGGCTCAGGAGGGCTGGGGGAACGGGACAGGTTATTTTTAGGCTGTGATTGGCGTCATGGGGAAAGGAGGGGCCCCCTGGACTGAGCTCCCCAGCCTACATTCCAGGAGCTACTGGCTAATGAATGGCCCTTTTCTGACAGAAATGGGCTGTCTGGATGAATGAAGGGTCTGTTGGGAATTTACTCACTCTGCTGGCCTGCCTCCCGCCGCTCTCCTCCTCCGCCCGTCCCTTGCTTCATGTCCTTTCTTCTCTTCGGTCTTCTTCTCTCCTACCGTTCAGGATCACATCAGAACCATCGCCCTAGCAGGCAGAGAAGCAGTGGGGTCATGAGTTCAGCATGACCCCTCATGATTAGAAGCATCTGGAGCCAACTAGACCCAAGATCTCCGGCCCTACTGCCTCAGAAACTGGCTCCTCACATGTCTACCAATGTTTCCTTTGGCTGTACTCAGATGTTCCCCAGTCCACCTCTCAGACCCCTGTGTTTGAAATGTAAAAACAGCAACATGTGAGCATAATGTGCTAAGAGATAAGGGTGGTTGGTTTCAGCAAGACTGAATCCATGTCAAGCTGCCAACTTGAGGTTTAGGCAGCCAAGAATAGTTGAGCGGCACAAACTGGCCTTCATGAGGGGAGAAAAAAAAAGAAGAAAACACAAAATTGGGTGGGTAGGGAGGTGAGGGTGGAGAGGGTAGATATGGGAGGAGTTAGGGTGAATATGATGGAAATACATTAACTCTCAAGGGATAAAATTATTATTTTTAAGAAATGAAAGAAATCCTTCCTTATATCTTAAAGATGCTTTACGTTTTTCTTATATTTTTTGGTTGTGAGCCTTGCCTTTCATGGCTGAGCCATCTCTCCAGCCTGCTTCAGATTTTCCTAAAGGCTTGAGTTCTACCTTTCGTCTTGGAGCCCTTAACCAGTATGGAATGGATCTTTGCACATGATGAAATATCAGCTCCAGTTACTTCTTCCCCGTGTGGATGGCGGTTGAATAGTCTCATGTGTCCCTGCTTTCCCATTATGTCACTTTCCTCCTTTGTCAAGTTTGCAGATGCTTAGATCCATGTCGGACTCTGTGATGTCCCTATGAGGCTGCATTTTTTTCTATCCTGCCCTAACAAGCCACTATCTGGTTTTTGTTGTTGTTGTTGTTGTTTTGGGGTTTTGTTTGTTTGTTTGTTTGTTTGTTTTTTTTTGTTGTTGTTGTTGTTGTTGCTTCTCTTTAAAGATAATTTCTCTCTGCACAGCTCTGGCTGTCCTGGAACTCACTCTGTTCACCAGGCTATCCTCAAACTCAGAGATCTGCCTGCCTCTGCCTCTCAAGTACTAGGACTAAAGGTGTGTGCCACAACACCTTTAACTGTGACACTAACAGTCCACGATCTTATTTCTTTATAATGAGACAATACTTCAACTCTTTCTGTTCTAAATTGTGTTGGCTGTTCTTGGAACCTGGCCTTTCCAAAACAATATTAGAATCAGCTTGCCAAATTCCATGAAAAGCTACATTGGTATTGTGAAGAGAAATGCTTTCAATCTAGAGCTCAAAATTAGAAACGAGGACAGAGTGTCCATGACCACGTATTCCTCCACTTATGTATCTCTTCTATGGGTTTTCTATTAATAAAGAAAGATGCACTCACCTATCTAGATTTTATCTATTTTTATTATATTTGTGTCTAAGAGTCTTAATTTTTCCCGGAAGTTCCTTTGGCCTCTGCAGGGACCTGTACTCACATGTACATGCACAACTCAAAATAACTAAAATAAAATAAATATTTTTTTAAAAGTAGTTAGCAAAAGAAAGATCAAGACCTCCCAAAGGAAGTAGAATAAAAATAATGAAGATTTAAGAAGATATTAATAATTTAAAATACCATTTAAATATAGAGTAAAATGTTTAATACAGAGATTTCTGGTTTTTGCTATGACTATATAAATTAATGAACTTCTGGAAATATTGATAATGATAAAAAGAAAAAAATTAAATCAATATTAGCAATAGAAAAGAAACATACAGCGTCAGATTCGCCAAGATTAGAAAAACCACTCTGAGCAAATTTATACCAGTGGACAGAAAGCAGTGAAAGGGAAGAAATTAGTGGGATTTATGAATTATAGAAACTGGTTTCCAATGGAAAGAGAGATTGACTTGTTCCAGAATCACTAAGTAAATTGAATTAAGAGTAAATAAATAACCTTCCCTTTAGAAATGTGCCACCTTAGATGGTTTCTTTTGTTGCTATTTGGTTTGGTTTGGTTTGGTTTGGTTTGGTTTGGTTTGGTTTGGTTTGGTTGGGTTTGGTTGGGTTGGGTTGGGTTGGGTTGGGTTGGGTTTGGTTTGGTTTGGTTTGGTTGGGTTGGGTTTGGTTTGGTTTGGTTTGGTTTGATTTGGTTGGGTTGGGTTGGGTTGGGTTTTTTTTCTAGTGTTTTTCTGTGTAGTTTCAGAGCCTGTCCGGAAACTGGCTGTGTAGACCAGGCTGGCTGCAAACTCATAGAGATCTGCCTGTCTCTGCCTCCCAAGTGCTGGGATTAAAGCAGCCACCCCCAGCACCTTAGATGGTTTAAAGCAGATCCGATCAGACATTAGACTTGACTACTGAAATATTTGACAAACTCTGGGAACAGATGCAAGCTCACTTCCAATTCAGTTTGGAATAGAACTTTCAGAACCTAATAAAGGACATCTCCCTCTGTCTCTATAAAACAGTTCATGGTAAATGCAGTGCTTAATGTAAAATAGAAGAAAGCAGGAGCAAGATTCTTGCTTTCACCACTTCCCAGGTGAAGAAGGAAGCGATGAACCTGAAAAGGTATAGGTCCCAGAAAGGAAGAAACCCAACTGGTTTTCCTTGTTGGTAGTGATCGCACAGAATCATGAGTTTGGAACGATGAAGAAGGATTCAAAGGGTTTCCAATGATAAACTTAATATAAACGAGTCAGTAGGGTTTGTATCTGCAAGTAGCATTTAGAAACTTTAATTAGATACAGCTAGAATTCTCTCTGAAGCCAGAGTCACAGGGGATGTGAGCCACCTGATATGAGTGCTGAGGATCCTCAGGTCCTCTACAAGAGCAGTAGGGCAGAGGTTCTTAACCTTCCCAATGCGTGACCCTTTAATACAGTTCTTCATGTGCTGATCCCCAACCGTGAAATTATTTCATTGTTACTTCATAGCTGTAATTTTGCTACTGTTATGAATTATAATGTGGTTATCTGCTATGTGACCCCCAAGGGGGTCATGACCACAGGTTGAGAACCACTGCAGTTGAGGTTTTTAACCAGCAGTGGAGGCTTTTAACTGCTAAACCATCTCTACAGCTCTCTTTTTACTAATTCCCTAAGTTCCTTGATATTTGCCATTCTGATTTATAATATTAGCATCATAAGGCTATAAACTTCTCCAAATTAACCATAATCATATGTCAGTATTTCATACATTTAGGCTGGTAGTATCTTTGTTATTTTACAAATAAAATGATTTTGCTTTTCATGAAATAGCACACTGTCCATGCTCTATCATAAGATGACACTTGGGTAATCACTAAGTGAGGTAATGGTGTCCCTTCTTGGTCACTAAGCCTCTCCACTCTTGATGAAGTGATGAACACACTACTAGACTTTTGGAGTTCTTTTTCTTTCCTTTTTTAAAAACACTCTTCTCCACTCATCCCTACACATGCTAGTGTGCTTTTGTAATTCTGGGTTGATTGATTTTCATTTATTTATGTGAACAGCTTCATCCAAAACATTCATTTCTGTCACCCCGTTAACATGCTTGGGAGACGCACCCACGTTATTGAGTGTAACTACGGTGTGTCTAGTGTGGCCCTTGTAGCTTTTGTTCTATGAATATGTCACAGTTTACTTGTCATTCTTCCCCAAAGGACACTTGAATTTTTCCAATTCGGAGCCATAATGAACAATGTTGCTATGAGATTCTGTGGGTTTATGAGTACACACGTACTCAGATGTCAGTTCACTCTACGCTTGTGAGTAGACATGCTAGTTCACAGGGTATGAAAATAACATCAGTGGGTAATGATCATTGTTTTCTAACAGAGCTGTGCTAAGTTACACTGCCCAGCTTCTCCACATTATTTTTTTATTCATGAATTTTTTCCATTTTTTTTACATCCTGATCACAGTTTCCCCTTCCTCCTCTCCTCCCTTCTCCATATTCTTATCACCTTGAATTATCCTACTTTTAAAGTTTAGTCATTCTGACCACAGTATAATTCCTATTGGCATTATCCCACCATGATTATATTAAATATTGTTCATACACTTATTGAGTAGATGAGAATACTGGTTGCTGCCAACAAAAGTGTTTGATAGATTTGGAGAATCTAGAGAATGCCTGGGTAAAGCCCTTGCAGGTAGACTGTGAGGGAACAATTATTAAATGTTAAGATACACAGAAGGTAATTTTAAAACATTTAACATGCAATCATTTGGAATTCTGGAATGAGAGTATGGAGATAATGGAAAGAAGTAATATTTGAAGTAATAATTCATGGAATTATTCCCTGAATAAAATGAAAAACACAAACTCTCAGAATCATGAAGGTCCATGAATGCTAAGCAGTAGACATAAGACTGAATCATCATTAGGGCCCTTATGGTCAAAGTTCTGAATACTAAAGAGAAAGATCTAAAAGCAATGAGAGAAAAGAGAAATTGTGTTTGAATGGGAAGTGCCCCCCACAGACTCACGTGTTTGAGCACACTGTCCCCAGATGGGGATAGCCCTTGAAGAGGGACCTAGCTAGAGAAAGTGTAGAGGCAGTGGCTAAGGCCCCACTTCGTGCCTGCTCTCTGCTTCCTGACTGGGGAGGCAACGTGACCAGCTGCCTCCACTTCCCAGTGTCATGCCCTCATGTATCCCTTGGGCCTATGGGCCAAAATAAACCCTTCCTCATGGAGATCGCTGCTCATCCGGTGTTTGGTCACCAAAACAAGAAGTGTGGTTCGTTCCCTGTGACTCAATGCCATTAATCCTGATTTCTGAAGAGTGGCAAATGCTGCCAGAAGATAGAATAATGTTTACAAAGATTTAATCTTGGTGTCATCATGGATCACTCCGTTAAGTCTCAGCACTCAGGAGGCTGAGACAGGAGAATTTCCTTAAGTTCAAGGCCAGCCTGGGCTACAAATATGTGCCAGTACAGTCACCCATACTAGGTGCCAGGGTGTGTAATCATACCTTGTCTCAAGAAAAGAAGAATAAGAGGCCTTAAAAAAAGTCAACTTAGAATGCTCATCTGCTAAAAGTTAGTTTCAGGAACAAAGAGGATAGAAATGTGTTTCAGGCCAACAAAACAGGTAAGTCACTATTATCAGACTCTCACCAAAACAAAAAGCCAGGCAGTTGATAAAATGTTGTAGAAGACATGGAGAAAAAGAAAGAAGGAAGGGAGGGAGGGATGGAAGGAGGGAGGGAAGGAGGGAAGGAGGGAAGGAAGGA